AATTTTCATACTGGCTACAGGGCTAGATCAGTGGGCTCGGCTTTGTGTGTCGCACAAGTGTGGACCAATGCACCTGGCTCTCCTAGATTTCCAACATGGGGTTCTGGCCGCACAACAGGGGTTCATCACTAGACGATTCAAGTCAGACCCCAAGTTGACTGGCTGCTGCCTACCTTCCCACTGCACTCGCTAACGTGGTGATGATCAAAACAGCTCTGAGGAGGGCTGCCCAAGAGCTATGAGTTACTGTGACTGACAGTTACAGCTCAACAGGTAGCAGATGTTACAATGAAAACTCATGAAGGGGGCAGGTGCTGTGCGGCAGTGGGTTAAGCCACCGCTTGGGATATCCCCATTCCATATCAGGGTGCCCGGTTTGAGGCTAAGCAACTCCTCTTCTGATCCAACCTCCTGCTAATGCCCCTGGGAAAGCAGCAGATGATGACGCAAGGACTTGGGTTCCTGCCACCTGCATGAGAGACCCAGATGAAGCTCCTGGCTGCTGGCTTCAGCCTGGCTGTTCAGCATTGGCTGTTGTGAGCACTTGGGGAATGAGCCAACACAGAAGATCCTCTCTCTTTTCTGTCACTCTGCCTTTCAAATAAATAAATCTTTAAAAAGCTCACAAATAGTTAAAAACCTGAATATACCGACATGTTTAAAATAGGGCAAACAATGAAAACAACCCAACCTTTCTCTAAACTGATAGAATGTGGTAGAGCCATACAACGGACTATTATTTGGCCATAGAAGGGAGTGAAGAACTAACATATGCTTCATTGCAGATGCACCTTGAACGTGGACGCTCAGTGAAACAAGCCAGTCGCAGAAGACCACATGTGCTAGACCGTCTTCCCAGGAAGTGCCCAGAACAGGGAAACCCACAGAGACAGAAGGAGGCCAGTGGTTGCCAGGGGTTGCTAATGGGCCCAGTGTTTTAGGGGTGATGAAAGGTTCTGTAATTAGTTACTGGTAATGATTACATAAACTTGAATATTCTAAAAATCACTGAGTCTTACACCTTAAAAGGTGAATTTTAAGGTGTGTGAATTACATCTCAACAAAGCTGTTATAAAAATAAACTAGTTGGGGGCAGAGCCATAGCGCAGTAGGTTAATCCTCCGCCTGCGGTGCTGACATGCCATATGGGCGCCGGTTCTAGTCCTGGCTGCTCCTCTTCCAATCCAGCTCTCTGCTATGGCCTGGGTGTTAGGAAACTGGTGCAGTTGTAGCCAGGTGGCCACATGGCCCAGCTACCTGAGCCAGGCTCCACTGCCATCCTAATGGGATTCGCTGCTCCTGCTTCCCTGCCCGCCCTCAGGCAAAGTTTTAAAAGGGCCTGTTCCTGCACACGTCCTTCTCTCCTGCCCTCTTGGCCTCTCTTGGCTTCTCTCCTCTCTCTTCTCCCTCCTCTGTCTCTCTCTCACAGTCTCCTTCTCTCTTTTCCCTTCACTGCCTCTTCACTCTGGTCTGTAGGGTGTTCCCCAATAAACCCTTTCCCTTACTCCGGTGTCCGGTGTGCTTTGCGACGGCTAACATTAAGATATAACATTGGGAAAGAGTAGAAGATGGCCCAAGTACTTGGGCCCCTGCATTCACATGGGAGACAGGGAAGAAGCTCCTGGCTCCTGGCTTCCGACTGGCGCAGCTCTGGCCGTTGTGTCCAATTGAGGAGTGAACCAACAGAAGGAAGACCTTTCTCTCTGTCTCTCCCTCTCACTGTCTGTAACTCTACCTTTCAAATAAATAGATAAAAATCTTTAAATAAAAAAAAACTAAGCAAAACAAGAACAAGTACTTATCTTTTTGCCTAACCTGTAGAATGAACACTTGCAATTCCATTCGGTTATCATCTCCCAATGCCCTGGGGTTGACTTCATCTGGCGCAGTGGGCACATGGTCCATAAAGTACTTTAATTTCTCTTAAAATCAGAGGGAAAAAAATATAATGCAGGCTGGATTTATTCTTGCTTAAATATCTATCAATCATCTATTTCTATCATCTATCTATCTGTCTGTCAATCATCTATCATCCATCTCTATTCTCTCTCTCTCTCTCTAATCTATCATCTATCTGTTAATCATCTGACCATATATCTATCCCTGTGTGGGAACCTCTGCAACAAAAGCATCCAGGTCCTACAACGTGCCCCCACCAGCTCCCAGTGAAATACTCCCAAGAAAAGTCACTTGGAGCGTGTGTTCTCTCATCTGGGGACTCATGGGGGCCCTCTTGCACTTTCATGGGTCCAGCGTGAAGTCTGAGGCACCAGCAGAAGCGTCAAACCAAACCGAACACAACGGAAGGCACAGCCCTGCCTGTGTGCGAGAGCTGCTAGCCAGTTACTCAACACCAGGGGAAGGCAGTGTGCATTGGAACAAGGGGTGGGTTGAGTCCAGGGGCCAGCAGAGTGATCTCTGGGCAAGTCGTTTGTCCTGTGTCTCTAAGCCTCTGTCTCTCCATCTTACTGGAAGGACGGAAGTAGGTCATGACAGAGCACCTCGAAGAGTTCAGAGCTCCCCCTACCTCCGTGCTGTGTCCACGGAACTGGCAGGTCCTGGCTGCAGTTAGGAGGCCCAGGGTGAAAAGCCCCAGGGGCCTGAATCAAAGAACCTCAGATAACCTGGGACCTAAAGAGAGGTGGAGGCAACAGGAAAGACAGGAAGGAAAGCTATTATGGTCCTCTGTCTCTCTCTCTCTCACTATCCACTCTGCCTGTCAAAAAAAAAAAAAAAAAAAAAAAAAAAAAAAAAAAGGCTGGCTCACTAGGCTAATCCTCCGCCTTGCGGCGCCGGCACACCAGGTTCTAGTCCCGGTCGGGGCGCCGGATTCTGTCCCGGTTGCCCTTCTTCCAGGCCAGCTCTCTGCTGTGGCCCGGGAAGGCAGTGGAGGATGGCCCAAGTGCTTGGGCCCTGCACCCCATGGGAGACCAGGAGAAGCACCTGGCTCCTGCCTTTGGATCAGCGCGGTGCGCCGGCCACAGCGCGCCAGCCATGGTGGCCATTGGAGGATGAACCAACGGCAAAAGGAAGCCCTTTCTCTCTGTCTCTCTCTCTCACTGTCCACTCTGCCTGTCAAAAAAAAAAAAAAAAAAAAAGAAAGAAAGCTATTATGGTCCTTATTTCAGATCCTCACCCAAAGACTTTCCAGAAGATTCCATCCTGGCTAATGAATCAAAGAGAAATTTCAGATGCAAGCATTGTTTTTATTCTCAGAGGAGAATTCTTCTGAAGCCATCACCAAAAAAGTATGAACTAAAAAAATAACATGGGGCCTGTGCTGTGGCTCACTTGGTTAATCCTCTGCCTGCGGCACCGGCATCCCATATGGGCGCTGGGTTCTAGTCCCAGTTGCTCCTCTTCCGGTCCAACTCTCTGCTGTGGCCCTGGAAGGCAGTGGAGGATGGCCCAAGTGCTTGGGCCCCTGCACCCCCATGGGAGACCAGGAGGAAGCACCTGGCTCCTGGCTTTGGATCGGCGCAGCGCTGGCTATAGTGGCCATTTTGGGGGTGAACCAGCGGAAGGAAGACCTTTCTCTCTGTCTCTCTCTCTCATTGTCTAACTCTATCTGTTAAATAAATAAAAAAATAAAAAATAATGCAAAAAGCCAGGATCCACGTGGTGACTGCTTCCAGTACACAGCCTTGAAAACCAGATGCCAGAAGCCCTAACACTGGCTCAGCTGAATCAGCCACAGCAGAATAACGTGAATACTGAAATACGTTGGTGTCCAGAAGAGGCTCAGAGACATACACTGATTTTGAATTCCCCAAACTACCATTGTAAACCAAGGTGTAACAAAATCCACCCTTGGGGGCGGGTGCAGTGATGACACATAAGGCCTCCAGGCCTACCTCTTAGCCCCTGCTGCCACAGCCACAGAAGGGAGACCCGGGAATGGGTTAGACCAGGGGGGAGGCAGATTCCTGCAAACAAGCCCCGATTTAGGAAGTGGGGCCAAGGTCATGACTACTGAACACAGGCTGATTAAAAGGATGTGAGGGCTAGCTCCAGGATTCAAGCCCTTTGCTGTGTGACACCGGGCAGGTCTCTCACCTTCCCTGAGCCCCGGGTTTTTTATCTTAGCATTTCCCCTACAGGCCAGATCAGAGCAATCTCCAGAGGGGCTTGAACATACAGACTCCCAGGTCCTCGTCCAGATGCGCTGGATCCAATTCTCAGAGCTGGGCTGTCACTGTGGGCATTAGAACAACTTTTCCAGGAGAGTCTCACACAGGCAAGTTGGGAAACAGCCCCTTGTCTGCACAATGTGGGTAGTAACAGTACCTCCCTGCTGGGTTTTGGGAGCGTTAAATCAGAAGAGTACATAGTGCACGTAGTGCTGAGTCAGCATGTTGTGAGTCGGTGAATATTAGCTTCTCCTGGGGGCAGTGTTTGGTACAGCTTCTAAGAGACCCCTTGGGACCCCTGTATCCCATATTGGAATGTATGGGTTTGAGTCCTGGCCCCATTCCCAATTCAAGCTTCCTACTAATGAAACACCAGGGCCAGTGCTGTGGTGAGGCAGGCAAAGCCGCTGCCTGCAGTGCTGGCATCCCATACGGGCGCCGGTTCAAGTCCAGACTGCTCCACTTCTGATCCAGCTCTCTGCTATGGCCTGATTCAGAGGAATAAGACATCCTGGTTCAAAGGAAAACTCAGCAGTAAAAGAAAAATGCGCTTTTCTTTTAGCACTTTCTCCTAGGAATGCACCCAAAGACCCCTGCCTGGCCCCTCCCTGGGGATCTGTGGTCTCAAGCGTCAGCTGGCAATGCAGGGACAGTAAAAGGCCAAGCCCCTGCCCACGACACAGCTTCACTTCCAGTTTCCCTTCAGACTTTCACAGGCATCCAAGCCCAAAGCTGCTCCAGCCACAGAATCAGCCTGTGCATAGTCGACACGGTTGAAATGAAATAAGGTTTTACAGTAGAAAATGATGACCAGAAAAAGGTGACTTGTACCGAAAACTACAGGAACAACAGAACTTAGCAGAGATGAGATGAGAAGGACAGATGTCATAATTTATTAGCTATGATACACAAAAAGTGATCTTGCAGTCTAGCTTAAATGATTTGTCGATTTATCACTAAATATTTTGTTCTGTTTACAAAAATGCAATTTTAGAAAAATACATTCTGGGGTCAGTGTTGTGGCGCAGTGGGCTAGGCTTCTGTCTGCAATGGTGGCATCTTACGTGAGCACCAGTTGGAGTCCCAGCTGCTCCACTTCCAATCCAGCTCCCTGCTAATGCGCCTGGGAAAGCAGCAGCAGGTGGATCGAGTGCGTGGGCCCCTGCCACCCATGTGGAAGACCTGGTGGAGTTCCAGGCTCCTGGCTTCAGCCTGGCCCAGACCTGGCTGTTGTGGCCATTTGGAGAGTGAACCAGAGGATGGAAGATCTCTCTCTCTCTCTCTCTCTCTCTCTCTCTCTCTCTCTCTCTTTCTGTATCTCTCCTTCTCTGTCATTCTGCCTTTCAAACGAATAAATGAATCTTTTACAAAAAAGTCATTCTTTCCATAGGTTCATATATAACAATGCAATTTCAATAAAAATATCCAAAATGTTTTTGGTGCTCATTTGGGAAGTTGGCACTGCAGGCGGCAGCTTGACCTGCTGTGCCACAATGCCGGCCCCTGAGTCCCTCTTTAATTTATGATTAAACGGAATATTTGACACATGTTCATTTTATATTTGTATTCCAGCTGTGCTTTTTACTTTAAAAACTTAGCTTTCAAACATGCAGATAAAATAGAAAATGTGCAGCTTTCAATGTGTTTATTGTCAAAGGTTGAATAAGTGAACTCAAGAAGTTATAACAAAATAAACTGAAAGGGAAGCAGAGTGGGGCCAGACTTGTGGCGCAGTGGGTTATGCCGCCACGCAGCCCATAGAGGAGCGCAGGTGAGCGCAGGTTCAAGTCCTGGCTGCTCGGCTTCTGACTCTGCTCCCAGCCATCGCACCCATCCACTAAAAAGGAGTCCAGGGCTCCCGTCTTCGGCCTGGGCAAACCTTGGTTGTTGTAGTCATTTGGGGAGTGAACCAGTGGAGGAAGATTTCTCTGTCTCTCTATTTCTCTCCCTGTCCCTCTGCCTTTCAAATAAATAAATAAATAAATCTTTAAAAACAAGAAAAGCAGGGAAGTAGTTATTCAAGATAGGAGCTGAAAGGTAAAATGAACAAGACTGAGGCGGTGTAGAGAAGGAATAAGTAAAAGCAAAAGCTCCTTTTACTTTTTTTTTTGACAGGCAGAGTGGACAGTGAGAGAGAGAGACAGAGAGAGAAAGGTCTTCCTTTGCCGTTGGTTCACCCTCCAATGGCCGCTGCGGCCGACGCACCACAATGATCCGATGGCAGGAGCCAGGTGCTTCCTCCTGGTCTCCCATGGGGTGCAGGGCCCAAGCACTTGGGCCATCCTCCACTGCACTCCCGGGCCACAGCAGAGAGCTGGCCTGGAAGAGGAGCAACCGGGACAGAACCCCAGCGCCCCAACTGGGACTAGAACCCGGTGTGCTGGCGCCGCAAGGCGGAGGATTAGCCTAGTGAGCCGCGGCGCCGGCCTCCTTTTACTTTAATACAAATAACTAAGTAAATATACCCTTGGCCAGTCAACTAAGTCTAAGACTGAAAATACAAAAATAAAGTGAAAAAATACAGTAGTACCAAGACAGCTGACAGATCTCAAAACACCAAAGATATTAAAATCATTTTAAGACTATTAAAAGGTATAATAGTGCTACAGATTTGAAAACTTAGAGCAATGTGAATTTTTTTGTTTTTTCAAAATATAAATGACTGAAACGGGCCCCGAGGAGGTGCACAACCTGCAGAGACGGGCAATTACAGAGAGAAGCGGGAGCTCTGTGAGGGCGTCTGTCCAGACGATCTCTGAGACCATCAAACTATTGCAGGTCACCGGAAAGGAAGGACACGGCCCAGTTCATTTTCAGAACAGCAACATCCAGAGACGGCACAGAAAAGAAAACCTGAGACCACCTGCACTTGTGCACATAGCTGCAAAAACCCCAAACAAACGTGAGAAAATGAAATCCATGACGCACTGTGGGTATGATCCAACATCGCCGCGAGGGTTCATTCTGGGTCGTAAGGTGATTCATCGCCAGGCTACGACTCACACTGATTCACTGAACTGACCGATGTAGTGCAAGCCCCGAACAATTAAGGCAAAACAGAGGGAAGACATCCTGGGTAGAAGTCAGCAGCCCGCTCTGATAAAGACTGTAACTGAAAACTGGAGGAGACGAAAATGACCCGAGTCCCATTAAAAGCCTTTCCCCAGAGGAAAGTGTTCACTGCATTAAATTGGGAAATTCTAAAGCCGTTCCAGTTAAAGTCACGGACACATCAGGGATGCTGGCTGTGCTGGGGAATGCAACAGAAGAAAACAACACAGATTGGATACACATTGTAAGGGAAGAGAGTTAACAATGTGGAAATGAGGCGACTGTCTCCTAGGCCACCAGTCACCAGGGGCCATGTTTCTAAAGAAGTTCAGTACAGACAATGTTATGCTTACAACAAACAATTATCTAAAACTGAAAAATATCCTGTTCACAGTTACAATGGTATATATTTTTAAAGATTTAATTTATTTATTTGAAAGACAGAGTTACAGAGAGAGGTAGAAAGAGAGAGAGATCTTCCATTGCTGGTTCATTCCCTAAATGGTCACAATGGTTGGAGCTGAGCTGATCTGAAGCTGGGAACCAGGAGTTTCTTTTGGGTCTCTCACTTGGGTACAGGGACCCAAGGACTTGGGCTATCCTCTGCTGCTGTCCCAGGCACATCAGCGAGGAGTTGGATAAGAAGTAGAGCAGCTGGGGCTTGAACCGGCCCCTATATGGGATGTTTGGCACAGCAGGCCAGGGCTTTAACTCACTGCACCACAGTGCCAGCCCCATCAATGACATTATAGAATGAGAAAACACTGGTCTTATGTGAGAATAGGCTATGCATGAAGAAAACTACATATATAATTTTATTGAATACTTTTTACAAGAGGACTTGAGTAAAGATTTTTGGGTGAGAAACTGATCATTTTATTAGTTATCCTTTGAGGCAGGTGTTGAGGTACAGTGAGTGAAGCTGTGTCTTGTGATACAAGCACCTCACACTGGAGTGCCAATTTGAATCCCAGCTGCTGTACTTCTGATCCAGCTCCCTGCTAATGTGCCTGGGAAGGCAGCAGGAGACGGCTCAAGTGCTTGGGCCCTGCACCCATGTAGGAGACCAGGATGGAGTTCCTGGCTTCTGGCTTCAGCCTAGCCCAGACATGTCTGTTGTGGCTTTTGGGGAGTGAACATAGAATGGAAACTCTCCTCTCTCTCTCTCTCTCTCTCTCTCTCAGTCCCCATCTCCACTCCATTGTTCTACATTTCAAATGAAAAAACAAACCTTTTCTTTAAAAGTCATTCTTTTCATAAGTTCATATATAACATCAGTGTAATTTCAATCAAAATTCCCAAAAGGTGGCTTTTTGGGGGGAGAAGGGATTGATACTACATAAACTGATTGCATTTGGGAGGGTGAATATTAAAGAATTGCTGAGAAAATTTTCAAAAAGAATAGTTAGAGAGAGGCTTTATAAGTTGAGTAATGCTTATGTTAACACTACTATCATCCAATATTTGATGCCGGCGAGTCAGAGACATGGAATCAGCAGAACGAAACAGACTCCAGAAGTGGATCCTAGTAGATTTGGGAACTTTATTTACACTAAAGGTGAACTTTAAGAAATGGTTATGGCATAAGTGGGCAGCCACACCCATCATCATATATACATTACAAATATAAATGTGGATGTTGGCTGCAGTAGGTGCTAACCAAAAACAAACTAGCAGGCAATAAAAATGTGAGAGAAAGAAATTTAATCTCAGGACAAAAGGAGGTCTATGTTAGACAACGCAGAAGGCACAAGTGAAGCAACAGAAACACAAGCTAACCAAGCAGGCGTTGTGGTGCAGTGGGTTAAAGCCCTGGCCTGCAGCACCAGCATCCCACATGGTGCAGGTTCGAGTCCTGGCTGCTCTGCTTCTGATCCAGCTTCCTGCTCATGTGCCTGGGAAAGCAGCAGACCCCTGCACCCATGTGGAAGACCAGGAAGAAGCTCTTAGCTCCTGGCTTTGGATCAGCCCAGCTTTGGCTGTTGTGGCCTTTTGGGGAGTGAATCAGTAGATGGAAGACCTTTCTGTCTCTCTATGTCTCTAACTCTCTCTGTAAATGTCTTTCAAATAAATAAAATAAATCTTAAAAAAAAAAAAAGAAAGATGGTTGCAATGCCACTAAGAAAGGTGAGAAACAGCCGGCGCCGCAGCTCACTAGGCTAATCCTCCACCTGTGGCGCTGGCACACAGGGTTCTAGTCCCGGTCCGGACACCGGATTCTGTCCCGGTTGCCCGTCTTCCAGGCCAGCTCTCTGCTGTGGCCCGGGAGTGCAGTGGAGGATGGCCCAAGTCCTTGGGCCCTACACCCCATGGGAGACCAGGATAAGTACCTGGCTCCTGCCTTCAGATCAGCGCAGTGTGCCGGCCGCAGCGCGCCGGCCGCAGTGGCCATTGGAGTGTGAACCAATGGCAAAGGAAGACCTTTCTCTCTGTCTCTCTCTCTCACTGTCCACTCTGCCTGTCAAAAAATAAATTAAAAAAAAAAGGTTCCAACTTAAAAAAAAAAAAAAGGTGAAAAGAGATAGCAGGGAGGAACCCAGCCATCCTCGTGTGTGACACATCCTGGTTTCCCACTCCCCAGGGGGCAATGAGGGAGGAGGAGTGACAGACGTCAGGGGAACGTGGGTCACAAGGCCAGCTGGGGAGCACACAGGACCAGAGAGTCCTTGTCACTCAGCGCAGGGACCAAACTCGGGCCAGTCTGAGAGATGCAACCCACAGCTACACTGAAAAGTAATCAGTCTTTGCAAGCGGAAGCTGGTGGGACTCACTTTCGGGAGTGTCACCTGCGGGGACGACGCTGCGGCTGATCAGTGAGGAAGGGAGTAGGCCACTTTCCTCCGCGTGGCACAGTCATGGCGCTACCTCGTGCTTAAAGGAAAAGAAGGACGTGGGGACCACCGTACCGACCTGTGGGACCCTCAGGAAACGGAGGAGCTAAGGCAACTTGCAAAGACGTGGACTCTGGGCACTGGAAACAGGAAGAACCTTCTCTGAGCTGCCTTTTGCGTCCACATATGTGGGTGGGACACAGAAAACTCATTACCTTGGGTGGAGCAAAGCAGGGACTGGAAGCTGCTGGCTTGGTTTTTCTACAACTTTCTCTAGAGTCTATTGTAAAAAATGAAAGACAAAAACCCACATATGCATGTGTACGTGTGCATATACAAGGGGTCTTCAAAAAGTTCATGAAAAAAGCATAGCATGAAATTATGAAAATACATATCATGGATAAACTACACATGGTTTCAAATTTTTTTTGCACCAAAACAAGCCTATATTTTCATTCCGTTTTCCATAAACTTTTTGAAGTACCCTGGTGCGTATAATGGAGGCAGCTGCTAGGTAAAGATATAAGCATATAAAATAAAATAAAGAATATACAAAGAAACTACAACATTATAACTGGGCTGGGAAATACACATATGAGCATAGAATAAAAGATCAGAGGGAAGTCCATCTAAACAGCTACGATGCTTATATCTGTGTCATGGCCATTGTGGCCATCTGGGGAGTGAACCACTCACGGAAGACATCTCTCTGTCTCTCCTTCTCCCTTTTAAATTCTGCCCTTCAGATAAATAAATAAATAAATCTTTGAAAAAGGAGCTAAAAGCAATATGAGATGAAATTATTTAAATGATTAACATTGTCCACTCTAAGCTTTTTCCTTACTAAAACCGTAGTTCCTGACTTACTACATTGCTGATACAAAAATAGATCCTGGCAAAGAAAACACAGCACTTCCTCAGAACCATGTTCAAATATTAAGGATCAAAGAGCAATAGGAAGAAGAAATACCGGCTCCAACTCCACAGCAAGTCCAACATTCAAAGCTTCCAGGTTCCTTATCTCACTATTGTGCATCTCCCTGGTTTGCTGTTACCAAGACCCCAAATCACAGCTTCTTATAAAATGAGATGACAATTTTGAATAAATAGGTTTATACATTGGGGAACAAAGCTGGTAAAAACGTACCCACGTATTCTCAGAACGTTATAAATACACCTCTCTCACAAGAGTAACCTCCCGTTCCCCAATCTGCGCTGATGCCAGAAATCAGAATTTTAGGTCTAAGGCTGGGCATCTAGCTTGCTCTCTGGCGCCACCTCCTGATCAAAGAGCATTTCAACTCCAAAAACACAATTTGAATTTTCCTACACTTTGGGAAAAAAACCCAGGAGCTTTGCCAATGTCAGCCGGACACTGGAGTCCGCATTCCCAGGTGTTAGTATTTTAAAAACAGCATCCTAGCGGACGGCGGGCAGTGTCAGTGGGAGCGTGTATCACATTCGCCCCGAAACAGGGGTCAGGTCGCCGGTCTGCATCTAATTTACCCGTGACGGGGCGGGGGGCGGGGGATGCTCGGGCCACGTTCGGGACCAGCTCTGTCATTCTGTGGCCATCCCCACCCGCACGCTCAGGACTCGCTCGCATTCAGGACGCTTTATCGGGCAGCATTGTATGGGGGCCCAGGTGTCCCCGTGTAGGCCATGGCCACAGCTCCGCGGCGACTCCCGGGGCGAGACGCAGGAACCCTGCAGCAGAGCCGGAAGATGCCGAAGACCTGAATGCACCCAGCGGCGGCCCTGCTCGGCTGCTGCTCCGGATCCCGCGGCAGCCGCAGGTGGATGGAGCCACGCCCCTCGGGACACCACGGTACCAAGTTATAAAAACACAATTTATTCCTTCCCGGGCAGGGCTGCACCCCCATCCCCGGAAACAGGCAGCGCCCCAGCCCCGGATAACCCCGCGGAGGGGCCCCCGGTGTTCCCCGCCCGCGCTCCCCGCGCCTAGTCCGGGATGGAGTCGGCTGGACAGAGTGCGGCCGCGGGCGCCGCCTCCGGGATGATGGAGAACGTCTGCTTGGGCAGATCCTGCTGCGAGGAAGAGGAGGAGGAGGAAGAGGAGGTGGAGGAGGAGGAGGAGGACGAGGAGGTGGAGGTGGAGGTGGAGGTAGAGGAGGTGGAGGAGGAGGAGGAGGAAGAGGCCGAGGAGGAGGAGGAGGAGGTGGAGGGGGCCGAGGCCGAGGAGAATACGGGTGGTGCCGTAGTGGCCACCGCGAGGTTCTGGCCGCCATGGCTCACCACGGTCACTTCGGCCGCGCCCTCCTGAATGAGCGCGTTCAGGCCCTCGAAGTCGGCGCACGCCAGGCCCGAGCCGGCGATGAAGGTCTGGCCGCCCGCGCCGTCCGGGGGCCCGGCGGCGGCCGCGGGGAGCAGCGTCTGGTCGTGGGCGGCCAGCAGCACGGCCGGCAGCGCCACGGCGCCCGCCTCGGCCGACCGCCTCTCGCCTCCGCCGGCTCTGGATGGCTGTAACACTTGCAAGATCTGAGTTAGGTTTCTGCTGAATCCTCGCAAGCACCTCTGGTCACTAGGATTGCTGGTCAGATGATAATACCGGATTCTGAGGAAGAAATGGCGTAGATGGAGCGTTTCAAACGCTACTACTGTCTTCACTGCTCGGTAACATACGATTTCGAGACTACTGGCGAACACTGGTGCTATATTGGCATAGCGTATGCTGTATCTCTTTCGTGGTATGATGTCGCTTCGTGGAGTCGTGTCGTGAGAGTGATGTTGGTCTTTGTTTTAGGTTCGTATAGTACCGTTTCTGGGGGTCGGCCGCTCTGTCATGCGGGAATTTGGATAGTTTGTCTCTAGTCCCGCCTCCATGCCCTCCCCGGACTATTTCTATTATTTCGATGCGGGCCCGCAGCTTATTAGGAAGGTTTTACTTCGTATAGCACTGACTAAGGCTATGTATTATTGGATCCGCAGCCCAAAGGCATA